CCAAAAATGTCGCGGTACACTTCGGAACAAAGTAGGAGACCCCGGACTTCCGAGACGACCTACTTGTGGGGAACAGATATTATTCATTACAATCGGTTATTGGAGGGATATTTGTGCTGCAAGCGGTTCAAACCGCTGCTGACGGTAAGCAACGTAGGAGACGGAAGGCTCCTTCACAAAATAGACATCGAGCCTTTCCCCGCTCCAACGTCTCTAGTAGCAGAACAGGACTTGCCAAGGCTCATGGAGAAGGTCTCTTCGTCCGTTTAGGGCAATAGTAAAGCACGATGGCGACTATGTCCTCGTCAGGCGATGCTCCAGATGATCATACTCTGTAGGTGATTACGTCACCACCAACGACGCCTATTCGGGGATATTTGAGGAACACCAGAACGCCCCCACGAACTCGCATTCCAACTCCTGGTTAGTAGTACATAGCGATATCATCTACCAAGAATGTATATTTATGATTTTATTGGTATTAATGAGTTGTTTTTCTTTTATTCACAACGTAAATGTCCTTTGGAACAACGATAACTTTATGAGCATAAGAATTACCTCAGTCACACGGACAAAGGTCCCACGATCGTTCTTTCCGACGTCAAAATAGAAAGTTTTGTTACTGTCCGCCGCCAGCTGCTTAGACTTTGGAGAATCCTGTAACGTTAAACCTACTGAGCTCTCGTAGAAAACAAACTGTAGCTCTCTAGACCTAATAATCGCCATCATGAGCACAACTCACCGTTCCATCATTGAGATAGCCCTGTGCGTACTGCTCTAACATTTCACTAAGGGCGTCACGTATATCACTTATTCCCTGAGCTGGGATGGCGATCTGAAAAATGTTTTCCTCGCAAGTAGCATATATCTCTGATACCTGAATGAAGTTTTACCTGAATGCGGTTCATACGCGGTGTAGCAAACAGTCTGTGCAATACGGAGAAAACGCCCACGCTTGTTCTCTCTCAAATCAAGATAGTAACGCCTTGCGTCACACACCAGCATGTCTGATTTAAGCGTTCCATTCTGTAACCAAGTATTTTTATTATTCATGAAGCTGAAAAGGATTGAGCTCTTAGCGTTGATCTGTCTAGCGATGTATCACGTCAGTGTTTCTATTCTCCCAAACAAGCTTGATATCAGTTTGGCAGCCCCCGAGGGATGGAAGGTTTGATGAGCTTCAGGTGAAGGGTCACAGCTTCGACACGTGCGTGTCGCAGAACACCTCTAATCACTGCGCCTCATCGATAGGTTAGAAAATATACTAAAGAACTTACTTCTGCGTTCGCTTCGGCATTTTCTGGCAGTGTCTCGTTAAACTTGATCATTTCGCCTAGCTGCTCGCATAATTGTGTTGCCGCCGACATTGTCAAAACAAGACGAGATTTGTAGTTGGCTCCCATATGAAACAAAAACAAAGCAAATATGAAAGCAGTTCTTGAATTACACAGTTAAAATTAGAGCAGTCCCGCTACTACTTATACTAGAACTTTAACTCGAAATGTGTGTTAATGGCGATCATATTCTTGCCAAACAGGAGTGCAGGACACGTCCTTCTTCCAATTGTACATGAAGATTACAAGGACATTCATTTTCAGCAATTCGACGAACCGAAAACAAATATTAAAGCAAGCTGAATAGTTTTTCCATTGGGACATGGGCACTTTATCATCCGCCTTCACAGTGTTTTTATTTTTCCACTTTGCGGATCCCAGTAGTTCTAACATTCAATCTTTTTTCGTCTATTTCCTAAACGTCGTAGATTACTGGTTGGACCTGTCGCCTTGAAATCTTGACGATGGCCTGGCTGTGACGTTACATAAGGTCTTCGTTGCTGAGTGCTGAAGTGTTGGGGAAGGGTTCGTTCGGCTTGACGTGCGTCGCGACGAGCATCAAAACCAGTCCGCTACGGTGCCTCCAAAGTTTTCCATTATTTATACTGAATCAGAGGGTGGAAAATGCTCAAGTATTTACTGAAAACAAGACAAATGGAAAGAAATCCAGCCGTGTGACGTGTAATCCACTAGCTCTCCACAAGAAAAGCATCGTCAACTTTTGAGATGAGACGAGATATAAATCATACACGACAAGCCGTTCAGAAGAGCTTCATATTATTTGACCACTTCTCTAGGCGAGAAAGACAAAAACGCCACATAATCGATAATGTTGAATACGCATACGCATAACTTTGAACCTCGGGCGGTACTAGGACCCGCGTTTCACCCTTTCCACTACATTGCTGACGTTCTTGCTCTGCCATCACCCTTTCTAAGGTGAAAGCTTTGGAAAGGGTCGATTCGGCGCACTGTCTCATGCTAGCCTGCATCCCTAACCCCGGTCACTTCCCCCCCTTCCTTTTGATCTCTTACAAGGAGCACAAGTCTAAGCTCGCAAGCAAAAGTCAATGTTGCCCGCCAGCCGTTCTGACGCTATAGGAAGAAGCGACGGAGATCGATTCAAGAGAAGTGGTAAAGTGAGAAAACAGAAAAAAAAAACTGCGCTCTCAAACATCGTTCATGAGCGTTTGATGGCATACTATTTGAATTAGCATTATATCAATATGGTACTGAAATAACGAGTATTGTGCCAAGAAGGCCTGCCTCTTCCGTCTTTTAGAATTTGCCGCTACAAACATTCTTAGAGTGATATTACTAAGCCGCTCCATGGGCTTTGGCAGTAGAGCAGTAAACACCATATTTCTTAACTAGAGATAAGTGAAATAACATGATTTTTGTATCGTTCAATTGCGCGTTTTCTTGTAAACATTTTGGCATACAATTTGCCTATATTTGCGCCAAGATGGAGCTGTCTTTGAAAGCAAACTCGCTTGTTACTCATGCACGACTGGCGTGGAGTAAAAAATGCTAGCGAAGAGGCGCGCAAAACTGAGTGACCTTCTTGTGGACGGCCCGCGTGCGACTGTTCCTCTAGACTGTTCTTTCCAGCTTTGAACTTCACAGATCACTTTCCAGCCGTCCTTACGGCAACCGTATCATCGCTCCAAGATCCATCATTAATTTTGCGCGCCGCTTCACTAGCACTTTTGCTCGCACCACTCGTGCATGAGTAGCATGTGAATTTGTTCTCACAACTCCATCTCAAAGATGGGCAAGCTGGACACCAAAATGTTCATAAGAAAATGCGCAGTTGAACGATAACAAAATCATGCTATTCCTTCTGGTTTGTGAATTGGGTGGTCTATTGCCCAAGTGCTAAACCTTTAGAACGACCTAATAACGTCAAACATTACAAATATTACTCACTTCAGCGATCTTGATGTACCGTCCACTGCTGTTTTGCTTCACATCCACATAGTATCTCTTGTAATTGACAGTCACTTGTTTGCTTGCAAGTTCCTGTTCATCACGTCTGTTTCCACCACGTTCAACACTTCCGTCTCTTCCGTTGTTTTTTCCGTCCCTTCCTTCTTTTCCGTTCGACATTCTTAGCTGTAGTTTCCACACAAACACACTTTAATTACCCCTCAAACAACACTTTCTTCACAGCGACGATGGTACACCAGCAAGCGCCCAAGATGAGCCGTTCTCTTCGAATCCTAAAGCGATACACACTTCATCTCAGAACTGACAAGTTCTTCATCTGGATTAGAAATTGAACGAGCGCAAATTCACAAAAAATGTGCCGGTGAGCCACATTAGCTATATGAATAATCATTCAGAATCATTCCAATAGAAGAATGTCTAAAGCCCAAACGAGGTTGGTACGCCAGGGCCATACACCGGTGTTTCGGAGGTTTCGGCCTCCTCGTCGGTGACCCCCGCCCCACATTAAGCCCTGCATTGTAGCAAGGAGGGAGGCGCATGTGGTGATGGCATAGTGTACAATGACACTGGTCCATCAGCACTGTTCAGTCGATGGATTTCGGCTGGTAGATCAAAATTAGCCCATAAGATCGACTGTTTTTAGAACCTCGCAATAAACATTATGGAAGCGAGGTTCTGAAAACAGTCGATCTTATGGACTAATTTTGATCTACCAGCCGAAATCCATCGACTGAACAGTGCTGATGGACCAGTGTCATTGTACGCTATGCCATCACCACATACGCCTCCCTCTTTGCTTCAGTGCAGGGCTTAATGTGGGGCGGGGGTCACTGACGAGGAGGACGAAACCTCCGACACACCGGTGTATGGCCCTGGCCTACCAACCTCGTTTAGGCTTTAGACATTCTTCTTTTGGAATTATTTCGAATATTCATAGCGAGGTTTGGAAACCATCGATCTTATGGATTAAGTCATTACAAAGTTCCATAGAAATATATAAGCAATAAAAGTTTCCAACATTTCCCATCTGGTTATGAAGGACTGGCAAGTAGCGAAATCAATAAGCACTAGTTTACGGACTAAATCGAAGCGAAATGCCGTATGTGGACGGCGAAGGAGGAAGAAAAAGAGGAAAAGAGAAAGAAAAAAAAGAAGGAAAGAGAGGAAAAGGATGAAACGAGGAGGACGGAAGGACCTCACCCCTCGTCACCGATGCGATGGAAATAAACCACCGCAGTTTTTAGGTGAACCGTCCGCGAGCTCGTACGCGCTGCGTCACATTGATATATGAATTTCGCATTAGAGCGCATAATTTCTTGAAAATCCTAGCCTATCCAAATATTCATTAAATCTTATGTTTTTACTACATTTTTCGCGCTGATATGATGTTTACAAACACCTGATAGTGTTCAGGGATGAGCAAAAATTTGACCTCAGTTGAGAATTGAACCCGCATCCTAGCCATGCCGACGTCGCGTGCTACCCACTACGCCGCTGAGGCACCGTTTCACCGCCTTCAACTCTGGCCTCTGGTCGGAAACATATCACTGCAAAAGATGCAGTAGAAACATAAGGAATCTTGAAAATTACATATCACAGTGGCTGTCGAGTTAACTGGATTTACAAAGTGATATTGCTTACACGACCAAACCTGTTAATGATTGGTGGCTGATAGCTATAACAGAGATATTGAATAATTCGTGGGGAATAAGCGGTGGCCTCTGTGGTGTAGTGGTAGCACGCCCCATTCCCCTCGGGTATGGGTGAAACGCGGGTTCAACTCCCGCCCGAGGTCGAATTTTTGCTCACCACTCAATTCGCTTGGGTGTATTGAAGTATTGCCCTGAAATACGAGAGAAAGGGTCTCATCGATTGAAGAAAATAGTGCTATTTGCTTATGAGAGACGACAGATGTAAAACCGATCTCATTCGCTGGACAGGAAATTACCGTAGGAGTCTTAGTAACCACTTGAAAACTGAGACTTAAGGCTACAGCCCCACTTCGCCGCTTGTCAAAAAAAATTTTTTGACCTCGCTACAAAAGGAGATTTCTTGGCTTCAGACAAGCGTATTTCCAGCCGGACAGAGCTCTTCCCTCGGATTATTAGTAATTATTCGATAGCATAATCGAATCTGATTCCAACGCTGTGCTTATATCCCAAAAGATCGTTTCACTGCGACGCAATAGGTAAAATTAGTTGCATTCGCATGTGCGAGCAAGGTGGTCTTTGGCCAATTAACGTGCCGGTGCGTGAGGCGACCACGTGATCTGTTGACGCGATAATTCTCTACGCGTCCACATGCCCGAAAAATCGATGATCGCCGCGCTAGCGAACGTGGCCGCCTCACGCGCGGGCACGTGAAGTGGCTAAAGACCCCCTTGCTCACATATGCGAATTCAACTTATTTTATTGGCTGCGTTGCAGAGAAATGACCTTTTCCGGATACAAGCACAACGTTGGAATCAGCTAACATTACGCTACCGAAGAATTACCAATATCCCAAAGAAAGAGCTCTGTCCGGCGAGAAACTTGAGCGTCTGAGGCATAGTCCTTGTGTGGATTTTACATCGTTATAAGGGGGTCTTTTCGAAAACTGCCGACATGGGGCTGTAGCCAGAAATCTAAGCTTTTGAATGATTACTAAAAATGACCATCTGAAAGCTCTTCTCCAGCGAATGAGGTCGATTTTTCATTCTTCCCCTCATAGAAAGAACGGAAAAAGTCTTATAGACTAAAGAAAATGCTACTGAATTAGCAATAAGTAAAATAAGAGTGACTATAACCGACAAAACCCTTCTAAAAGCTCTTTTGCATTCGCTTTTAAGTTTGATAATCAGCTTTAAAATGTGAAGGCTAATTGACAACGGACAATTCTACGTTTACTACTCTATGATGGTAGTATTACTATCTCGGACCAATGAAAGTAGTTGGAAGTAGTTAGCTGGAGAAAAACGAAAGGAAAATGAGATGAGAGAAAGAAGAAAAATGACTCTCGTTCGAAAAACAAAGTTCAGGTCAAGTCATGACGGTAAAATCGTAGACTTATTGAGTAATTCGCAAGACTAACTACCTGCTAACCTCGGTATTGTTCGGTAGATCACAATATTCGTCTTGGCAAGCCAAAACACGAAGTTTTTGAAAAAAAATTGATCCGCATACTTCACGTTTTGGTGGTTTCGTCTTCTTCAAAGCCGCTTTTTATGAGTCAAAAGAGAAGAAAAAATTACTCAAAAAAAGTGGCTCTGAGGAAGACGACGAGACCGCAGAAAGTGAGCTGTTTAGATGAACTATATTAGAAGAATCTCGCATTTTGGCTTATCAAGAGAAGAATTGTGATCTGCACATTGAACCAAAAGCGCTGGATTACAAAATAAGTGCTTCCGTAGGATTCTAATACTCGTTGAGCAGGTTTTATTGTACTTCCGAGATAGCCACTTTAGGACTCACGTTGACTGATTGCCAGGGAGTGCCGGGAGGAGGATCAACACCGCACCGAGGGTCACTAACCACTCGGCTACGGCTACAGCTCCCTTGCCCTGCTGCGATAACAGAAGAAATACATCCTCTAAAATTGTATGATATGATAGTACGGATAGATGTTACGTTACACCGGTCCGTCACGTGCTCACGATATCTGAGAGATGTTTTAAAACAGAGATAAATCACTCTTATTTGACTTATCACCTTATTTGATCCGAATTGCATGATTTTTTCGACTTCGCAGACCGCGATGCCCTGAATTTCAACTAGCCTCCTTGCGTTAATTGCTTAATTGAGGAATTATAGGCTTCACGAACGTTGCAGGATACCTGTCAAGCACGTCTCCTTGCAATCTCGAGGATAGCCAGGCTGGAACGCGCCCTTGGGCGTCCGTTTGTGATCGTCGCCTAAGAATGCTAGGGGGAGCGTGTGGGAGATGAACGCCGCTTCAAGTAGCAACAAGCACCACGAGCCGCTCAGCTACACCCTCACCCTCCCCCCCCCCCCCATTCGATTTATCGACTCAGCTATTGCACTTCTCATTACGATATTCTAATTCTGAAGAAGATATACTAATCTTGCGTAAGCTCGTAAGCTTCAAATTAGAAAAGTTAGTTTCTGTCACATAGAGTGATATGATAGTATGAACGGATGCTACGTTACGCAGGCACGCGCCACGAATTGAAGACTTCCTAGAGCGTGTAGAGAACGAATTCTAATAGAATTTGGATAAATGCTCTTCCTATTCCCATCACGACAATCAATGGGCGAGAGTTATACCGACTTAGTCCCTCGGGATGTCAAGCGCTCCGCAGGACGACCACCGACCAGCAAGGTTCGATTTCTTCACGAAAAGCCTAGACAAAAGATATGACGCTTAACGATTTCCTAGAGGGAGAAGGACTCAGTGGACTACTCTTGCACGCGATAGGGAAAAGGAAGTGTTGTTGATTCTCGCTCAAGTCATTCGATGCGACGATCAATGGGACGCTTTCATGAAAGTCTAAATTCTTTCTATTTTGACTGCCACTTGCAGTGGTATGATGTTATAGTAAACCCAATATGTGGAGTGCTGTGCAAAAACGTTTGCGTCAGCCGGGATTCGAACCCAGATCTCACTCTTTCCGGGAGCGCAGGCTAACCATTCCACTACCGACGCTCGTTTTGCACAGCACTCTTATTTGCGCTATAACGCGTTGTTGGAAAGAGTGAGATCTGGGTTCGAATCCCGGCTGGCGCAAACGTTCTTGCACAGCACTCCACATATTGGGTATACTTTCTTGAAATTTACCAGACCTTCGACCTACGCTCTGCACAAAAACCGAAGAGGCTCTTCCCTATACAGAGCTAACAAAGCTTGAATCTGCCGAAGACACCTAGTGAGCTTCCCAAGGTCAACCGATGAACGAGAGCCGTCATCAACTGGATTCCTCAGGGTGTTAACCGGTTGACTTCCGCGGACGTGTCCGGCAGCGTGGCTCCGCGAGAGTCAACAGGTTGAGCGCAGCGCAGGAGGACCGCAACCGACTCGAAGACCGATTCTTCAAAACACCGAAGAAGGATATGATGCGCAACGAACCGTGACAGTTGGGAGAGGTTACTGGGCCACTATGGCAGGCGGTACGGAACATGGAAGCTTTACTGGGGTTCGCTTAATTCTCACGACGATCAGTAGTAGGACGACAGCTGAATTCTAGAAAAGATAAAGACTATAAAGCTGTCGACGTGAACCAATCCCTGAGTGATGCGCCATGCATTTGTCTTTGCTTTTTGGCTTCGTTCGAGGTGATTGAACGCATATTTGGCAGTCACAATGACTCACGGTGGCCTGCCGCTACACCGAGTCAGTGCTGCCTATCCTTTTGAAGGAGTGTAGTTAAAATTCGCCAACCGCGGAGAGATGAAAGGCTTGATGAGTCTCGAGTGCGGGAACGAACTATCGACCATCGACTGGTTGATGATGTGCAGCAGAGCACCTCTAACCACTGCGCTACACGCGTTCGTGATTTCCGTAATGGATAAATACACAGGTTCTTGGTAAGTGAAAAGGTGGGTATTTCAAGGAAATCATTACCGAAGCGGCCCGTAGAACCTAGAATCATGTACTAAGATTTTACGATGAATGTGTGATGAAGAATATTTGTGACTACACTGATAAGCCTATTTGCTTATGTGATTGGAAAAAGTATCTGGTAGATAACAGGGGGAGGGACGGGGGGGAGGGGGAAAAGAAGGAGCGCTCGATAAACTTTCTAACATTGCTCTAAAGAGTTTCAAAAAAGAAATAAGAAAAAAACAGTAAAAAGGAAGAGGAAAGAAAAAAATCTGGTTTTTTCAGTTATGAGAGGATAGATGAAAAACCGATTTTATCTGCTGGATGGGAAAGTTTCATAGGAGTGTCAGTAACCATTTGAGAGCTGCGACTTCAGACTGCAGCCCCACATCGCCGGTTTTTCGAAAAGGTCTTTTTGTTGCTACAGGAGGAGATTTCTAGGTTTCAGACACGCATATTTCTTGCCCGACAGGGCTCCTTCTTTGGACTATCAGTAACTATTCAATAGAGTAATCGTTTCTGATTCCAACGCTGTACTTATATCCTGAAAAGATCTTTGTCTGAAATGCAATAAGTAAGATAAGTTGAATTCCCGATTCCGACCAAGGGGTCATTGGCCACTTCAAGTGTGACTGGCTGGCAGCCAGGTTCCATGGCGCGATGATCATCGATTTTTCGAGCATATGAACTCGTGGAGATGTATCGCGTCACCAATTCACGTGGCCGTCCCATGCACACGCTTGTGAATTGGCCAAAGAGGGCATTGAATGCAGATAAAAATTCAACTTATTTTACCTACTGCGTTTCACTGAAACGCTTTTTTCAAGATATAAGCACAGCGTTGGAATCAGAAACGATTACGCTATCGAATGATTACCAGTGGTCAAAAGAAAGAGCTCTTTTCGGAGAGAAATATGCGCGTCTGATATTTAGTTTTGTTTGGATATTTGAGCGTTATAAAAAAAATTTTTTTAAACCGGTGATGTAGGGCCGTAGCCTCTAGTCTAAGCTTTTAAATGGTTACCAACACTCCTATAAATAATTTCTCCCCAGCGAATGAGATCGGTTTTTCATCTGTTTCCTCATAACTGAATTGTACCGAAAATTTTACTCAACCAGTAATTTACCACAGTGATGTGAAGATTCGGCTGAAATACAGTCAAACTATTTTTGACTCGCCAAGAAGGCGCCGTCTAGCATTCACCTAAGCATACAGAGAGCACTACTTCAAAGAAGGGCACCATTCGTTTTATTTTATTAGATCGGTTATAAGGGGGCCCATGGACCGAGTGGTTGCGATGCTCGTCGCGGTGTGCGTGGGGCCAAACCCCCTCCCTCTCTCCCCCAACATTCTCGCGCAGTCAAAATCGAATGCCCTATGCTACAGCACAGCCTGGCTATCCTTGAGATAGCAAGGAGACGTGCTCAATCAGTATTCTACGGCGTACAAGAAGAAGACGAAAAAAACGATTTGATTATCATGTGTACCGTAAATTCTCTCCGAATATCACCTCGGAAAGGGCTTAATCAAAGGTTTGAAGCCGCTTCAAGCTCTAGTTTTGCTCGTTTTTCGGCGCTGTTTCGGTTAAATTTCTCATCATATGTGGTCGTGAAAATAAATCAAATGATCAAATATAGAATAAAAACGGAAAGATAAGAAAAAAAAATAGAAAAAATTGAAGAATGGGGAGAAAAACTGTGATTTCTAAATAAGAAATGTATAAATAATCTTGCACACACGATCGATGTCGATCTACCACCACAGGGCCGGGTTGTCCGCTCCTCGAGCGTGGGAAAACTGTGGGAGCCCGTGGGAAGATCGTGAGACAATGCCGATGGTGTAAGATGGTTCGCGCTGTGAAAGCACAAACTACATTAGATAACATAATCGGTCAATGCTCTATTCAGCCGCACTTTTATCAATGTCATCGTCTCATAGTTATATATCCAGTCCTGTTGAGTGATGTGCAAAAAATTGGAAGTCGGTCGTGATTCGAACCCACGTCTCACCCTTTTCTGGGGGGCGTAGTAACCACTGCATACCGGAACTCATTCAACACTACTGGATGCATGTAACATAAATTCAGCAGATCAGTGAAAAACCTACATTTCATACGGCGATCGTTTACAGTTCATAAATTTCTGTTAATTATCATTCTTGTTAAGAGCGCATGTGGCGCAGTGGTTAGAGGTTCTCTGCATCGCCCACGAGGACAATGGTTCGATCTCGCGCTCATAGCTCACCAAGCCATCTATCACTCCGGGATCGGTCTCGATTTAGCGGGACGCCACTGCGAGTCATTTGTGTGAAGGCCAGATATGCATTCGATCTCAAACGAAGCTAAAAATTGAAGACATTATCACTCAAGGATTGATCAACGCTGAGAGCCTCAACCATTGCCTTTTAATCAATATTAGTAGAATCCGAGAGATATATGATTTCACAGGTCCACTATGGCGCAGTAGTTCGTAACGCCCTGTAATATGCGCTCAGTCTCTGGTTCGATCTCGTGCCCTTGGTTCAACAAGCCCTTCATTCCGACAGTGTCGACAACTTGGTTTTAGATCTGTCTTGAAGGATTTTAGTACTGACCTGATGCATCAGCAGGCTCTTGTAGGGTACTGTATAGGCCAAATAAACATTCAATCAGTTTTAATGATGCTTAGTGAAGTCATATGCACAGAAAATCTTTCGATAGTTGTCCAAAGCCAAGGACTTTCTTTTTTACATTTTCTACACTTCTCGTGACTAAATATTTTCATCCTATCCGCCTATTGTATTGTCAATATGTACTGAATAGCTCATCTATTAACAACCTCCTACTGCTGAGTAAGAGAGTTACGGCCTTATTCGATGAATGCAGAGGTTAATCGATAGTTAGTTCTAAAAAATTATTCTGTGTTTGATACTTACCGACCCATTCTTTCATAAGATTACCACTGATTCACAATGGCTTATGGGTGTTGTAAAGTACTGAATTGCTGTGCTCAACCGGAGTTCACCCTCAATTAGAGTTACCTTAGTTGAGAGGGATTCCCATTTTGCTATCCTAAAAGCTACCTGGATAAGAATTTTATGATTCCAAAACATTCCAGCGATCGTCGTGATAACACAATCCTTAGCTGGCTAGTGATGACGACATGAGGATTTCCCAGCATTTTTTCCAAACTTCAAGGAGAAAAAATTTTAAAAACAATTACCACCAATGTGGAATTTGCTAAGGCCTTTGAGATTTCTCGTGAATCGTGGAGATCGCCAACTGAATATTTGTTCGTTTGGTTTCAGTTAAATTTACAAATATTTTTGTTGCATTAACCGGCTTCATATCTATTACACCATGTGAAGTCCTGCATTTCCAGCATTAGAATTCTTACCTCACATTCATTGTTCATGAGCTATTCGGCACTTCTGCGTGTGAGTTCGGCAGCTGCGTGAGATTGATTTCTTTTTTATGAATGTCTTTGGGTGCTGGCCCAGTCGATTTTCTTTGAAACTCTGGTATAATCGCGTTGGACCTTTCCACTTGCATTTCAGGGAATGAATTGTTTGCAGATAACCCTGGAACCAGTTTCCTTACCGCGAGGCTATGACGGGCTTGGCTGGCATGGGCTGGTCGGACCAAGGTCAGTGTAGGTGGCGACGAGAACTTCCGCGTAATGCAATAGATAACCACCCTGCGTTACTCACCTCATCCGTTGATTAATCGTTCCAAAGATATAAACATAGCACCATCTTGATAAAAATTGAGTTTCTGGATCACAGTTGTCTCTGTGCTCTAATTCTACTGACAAGTTGTTCAAAGAGCAAAAATCAAAAATTATTAGACGTTTCAGTAGTAGAACATGAAGAAATCATAGAGAATAGCCCATTGTAATATCATAATCCGGGCACATTCCAATAGACCTCTTTTGAATCAAAAGCACAAACATTTCGTAAAACGCTATAGGAGTCACTTCTCAAGGATTTTCCGAATACGGTTGCCCCGGTAAGGGCCTTATAAAAGCGTGGCGTACCCCAACATGCTGTCAGATCACAGCATTCACATTGAAATCATACTTATTTGCTAGTCATTGAGTAGCTCCAAATAAGCCAACTGAATTGCTGA